ATGACCAAAACAGACCTCATGACCAAAACAGACCACATGAGCAAAACTAGACCACATGACCAAAACAGACCACATGACCAAAACAGACCACATGAGCAAACTAAACCTCATGACCAAACTAGACCTCATGACCAAAACAGACCACATGAGCAAAACTAGACCACATGACCAAAACAGACCACATGACCAAAACAGACCACATGACCAAAACAGACCACATGACCAAACTAGACCTCATGACCAAAACTAGACCACATGACCAAAACAGACCACATGACCAAAACAGACCACATGACCAAAACAGACCACATGACCAAAAAAGACCACATGAGCAAACTAAACCTCATGACCAAACTAGACCTCATGACCAAAACTAGACCACCTGAACAAAACAGACCACATGACCAAAACAGACCACATGACCAAAACAGACCACATGACCAAAACAGACCACATAACCAAAATAGACCTCATGACCAAAACTAGACCACATGACCAAAACAGACCACATGACCAAAACAGACCACATGACCAAAACAGACCACATGACCAAAAAAGACCACATGACCAAAAAAGACCACATGAGCAAACTAAACCTCATGACCAAAACTAGACCACCTGAACAAAACAGACCACATGACCAAAACAGACCACATGAGCAAACTAAACCTCATGACCAAAACTAGACCACATGACCAAAACAGACCACATGAGCAAACTAAACCTCATGACCAAACTAGACCTCATGACCAAAACTAGACCACCTGAACAAAACAGACCACATGACCAAAACAGACCACATGAGCAAACTAAACCTCATGACCAAAACTAGACCACATGAGCAAAACAGACCACATGAACAAAACAGACCACATGACCAAACTAAACCTCATGACCAAAACTAGACCACCTGAACAAAACAGACCACATGACCAAAACAGACCACATGACCAAAACAGACCACATGAACAAAACAGACCACATGACCAAACTAGACCACATGACCAAAACAGACCACATGACCAAAACAGACCACATAACCAAAATAGACCACATGACCAAAACAGACCACATGACCAAAATAGACCTCATGACCAAAACAGACCACATAACCAAAACAGACCACATGACCAAAACAGACCACATAACCAAAATAGACCACATGAGCAAAACAGACCACATGACCAAACTAGACCTCATGACCAAACTAGACCTCATGACCAAAACAGACCACATGACCAAAACAGACCACATGACCAAACTAGACCACATGACCAAAACAGACCACATAACCAAAACAGACCACATGACCAAAACAGACCACATAACCAAAATAGACCACATGACCAATATAGACCTCATGATCAAAACAGACCACATGACCAAAATAGACCACATGACCAAACTAGACCTCATGACCAAAACAGACCACATGACCAAAACAGACCACATAACCAAAATAGACCACATGACCAATATAGACCTCATGATCAAAACAGACCACATGACCAAAATAGACCACATAACCAAAATAGACCACGTGACCAAAATAGACCTCATGACCAAAACAGACCACACGACCAAAATAGACCACATGACCAAACTAGACCTCATGACCAAAACTAGACCACATAACCAAAATAGACCACATGAGCAAAACAGACCACACGACCAAAACAGACCACACGACCAAAACAGACCACATGACCAAAATAGACCACATGACCAAAACTAGACCACATGACCAAAATAGACCACATGACCAAAACAGACCACACGACCAAAATAGACCACATGACCAAGAACAGACCACATGACCAACCCTCAGTTGTTAACAGGTGATGATTGAATGGGTGTACTGATGTTTTTTTTTTATGAATGGATGAATTATTGAATGGATTGATAACTGACAGTTGGAAGGATTAATAGACTGGATGAAGTGATGGATGGATGATAATAATTTTTTTAACATTTTTGTCATTAAATTAAATCTCGTTTTATTTGTTTCCAGGTGAGATTTTTATTTGTTTTCTGTAAAGTTGCCATGAAACTTGATTATTAATAACTGCAGAAATCCGACTCACTCAGTCATTTTCATACAACACGCTTCCTTTGACCTCTGACCTCTACCATACCTGCAATATTCAGAAAGGTTGAATAAAACCTGAAACTAATAAATCGATGCAGTTGGTTCACCTTCACAGGCAGCAGCAGAGGAAACAATAAAAAACAATATTCTTCACATATTGATGAATTTTCTTTGCGTCTCGTCGATGAACATGAAACGCTGGAAATCAGATCCTCAGGTGGAAACTTTCTGACAGTCTGCTGATGTTCCTGAAGGTCGATCCTCAGACTGAGTTTATTAAAACTTTCAGCAGATTTAAAGCGACTCATGTTTCCAGTCTGCAGACACCACGGCTCTCAGCCACACTGTCACCGGACTCAAACCCAACACCATGTACGAGTTCGCCGTCATGGTGACCAAAGGTCGGAGGTCCAGCACCTGGAGCATGACGGCCCACGCCACCACGTATGAAGCAGGTACGACTCTCAGGCTCACAATTATTCTCCAAAAGTTGGTGTGATGTAATTCTTTTATTGAAAAAGTTCACATTTTAAGAGCAACTTATTTCTTATTTTGTCAGATTTAAATGTTAGATTATCAAAACAAACAGAACCTACGTAAACCCAAAAGGACGTTTAAAAATTACAATTTTATTTATTCAGGGAATATTTCCGTCCAAGATTAAACTTCCAAACCCTTTGAGCAACCGAGATCGATTCGCGTTCGCACCAGAACCGAACCTGCGAGACAAATGGGCCAGAGATGGATCAAAGCGCCCTGAACAGAACTGGAGGGAATGTCTGACCTTAGCCCCGCCCCCAGCCAAAGCGGGCGGGGCCAAGCCACACAGGGGGCGTGGCCAAGAGCCGAGCGGAGCCGAGCGGAGGTCAGGATGAATGAAGCGTTGACGACAACTTAGACAATTTTCAGATCCTCTGGTGACTTTTTCTGGAAAACAAAAGCGACGACTGAGAAATCTAGGAACGTTTTGTGTCATTTTATTGACGACATGTAAACTATTAATCTATTAATCGCTCAGTGAGACTCCGGGTTCAATGAAAGTCAATCACTCACAAATCTAAGAAACGCCATCAAAAATTCATCTGCTGTAAACACCATTTGACCCACAGAGGGCAGCACTGAGTCAGTTTTTAGTTAAATGTTGTGTAATTTAATATATTTACACAAAAATTTGCACAGAAACAGATAGAACCACTAAGAACCAATTTAGACAGTTTATTTACAAAAATAATGTTGGTTTAGTGTTTCGTTTTCTCAGGGGTTTTTGGGATGATAAACATATTTTGGTTCTGCACGTTTTTCTAAACTCTCAGTGAATTGAAGATCTTGAGTCAGACTGAGGCTTTGTGTTGTTTTTTGATCACTTTTAGCCTATTTTATGTCAGACAGTTGTGTTGAAGTGATTTTCTTGGGGTTTTCCTGACATTAATGTTTGTGTGATGATCTGAAACAAGTGCAAGCAGAAATAAATGAACAGTTTTCATCCTTTAGCATTAAACGGAACGAGGAGACGAATCTTTCATGTGCAGCCTGCAGAAGTCCTGCTTTGAAGCTGCTTTCTTCCTGTTTTCTGTTTAGAGGTAAATTATGATCCGCAGCAGCTTTCAGAAAAACAGGTGCAACAAAAACAATGAGTTGCAGAATTTTCTTCCAGAACAGCAATTATTTTTAACAATGGACTGAAAACACGTTCTGGATGAGTGAAGAACCATCATAAACTTCCCTCTCTCTCCCCGCCAACATCACCACGACTGTCTGCAACGACTGCCGGCCGGAATCAAAATGTCACGCTTCCACCTCTCAGGATGTATACAATCGTGTTTGCCGGATTTGTCACCCAATTAAGCGTGAACGGCATTAGCCCGGCGGCTCCCCGAGGCCCGCTGGAATACATTGACATTCAGAGTCAGCAGATGGAGCGAGTCCACTCAGTCTGTCGCTGATCGGCCGACTTTAAACAGACGATCTCTCACAACAACGGCAGCAGAGGAGACGGAGTTCCTTTATCACAGCTCGGAGCGCCGCTGCTTCCTGCTAAAAACAGACACCTGTTGAGAGCCTGGCGTCGAGATAAGAGCTGCAGAAAAGGGTCTGCAGGTCAAGCAGAGACAGAGAAGAGTCGTTTTCAGAAAAACATCTGAAGGATGAATTACAGGAGCTTCATATTGATGCTTTTTAGCTTTAATATCTGAAATTGTTCAGCCTTGAAATGCAGCAAAGAGCACAAACATGTAACTAAGAGGTTTTACTGTTGTTTCTTAACTGTCTTACAAAATTACACAAAAACATGACTTTTAACTCAAATAGCTAGAATATAAAGAATATGGAGAAAATTCATTTTGGTTAAAAATCTAAAGTTTCTCACATTCATTCTGATCTTTATTTCTCGCAGAAATTGGTAAACAAATGGAAGAAAATCAGTTATGGGAAATAAATTAGTGAATTAAAGGTTCATGATGATTTTTATTTTCTACTCTTTCCAAACAGAAAAATTATATTTTTAAATAAAGTTTAATTCGTTTAATTATGGGAGTAGAAATGAATCATATTGTGATAATACTATGTATCAGAAACAGGTGGTTCAGTTAAAGTTAAATCCGTTTAGTCGACATTTATTACATCATACGCAGTTTTACGCTCAAATATACGTTTGAAAGGAAACATTTCAGATGGAATCAAACGTTCAGGCCGTCGGTTTGAAGCTTTTATTGCGTAAAGCTCTTTATGGTGTTCTATCTAAAGCTCTTTATTCCTGGCGTTGCTCTGATAAAAGCTTCGTTCTTTTCATCAGCAACGTGAAGCTGAAGCCATTAGAGCGTCAGGATTCCTGCTGAAAGCTTCACTTTGACTCCTGAACGCGCTCTGGGTGATCGACACGGTGCCATGCTGTTTATCCATGTGTTGATTAATCCATAACTTTGTTATTATGGCTCTTTGCTTTATTAGGGATGATTTGTCAGGTCAGCTATTAGCGCTGATTATGAGCTGTTAATCATTTCCGATCGAGTCCGGGAAGCCGTGTTCCCCTCTGTGTTCAGGAGAAGTGCAGGTTGTCAGCATCACTCATGGTCTCAGCTGGATCTTGTAATTTCCTCCAGCGCCGAGTGTCAGATTTAACAAGCGGCTTCATTTTAACAAAACCAAGCGCTGCTTTTTGTCGCTGAAGGAAATTCATAAAGGAGGCACTTAGGAAAGGTCCGATCGAGGTTTCCATGGAGACGAGGAGGTCAGAGGGAGCGAACCCGACTGGGAAGTTAATGAAAGCTTCACTCATTAAAACGCTGCAGCTTATAGGAATAAAACGCTACCTGGAGACACACGTCACCTGAACTGGACCTCACAGCGGGGCAGGAGGGGGCGGGGCAGAGCAGGGCGGGGCAGGAAGGGGTGGGGCAGGAGGGGGTGGGGCAGGAGGGGGCGGGGCGGGGCGCTCAGAGAGCAGGTCTCACCTGAACGCCTCGGCTCAGTTTGATTCCCTCCTTAGAACAGGAAAGGAGGGAGTTACCAGAGCAACCAGCGACTCAGCGTTTCCTGAGGTTCTGGTTCTTACACAAATGATGTTTGAACACTGAAAGGCGCCTGGTACCGGAAAGAATGGTGGAACCGGGTCTCACTGTTTGAGACGCTGATGTCTTCGCAGGTTGTCCTGCAGCAGTGGTTCTGACGCTGCTGGTCAGAACCAAAGAGACGAATGTGGAGATGAAACTGAAGGTTGACGGCGTCAAAACGCCGAGTTGACATTAATGCACTGCACAAAACCATCAGACTTACACTGTGAGTGTGTGAAAATATAAAAGGCATCAAAATGACGTTTGAGTCCAAGTTTCTGTGCAAACAGGACTGGACTCCACTCTGATTCACTCATTTCTATTATGGTCTGTGAGACAAGAGGAAACATGAAGCTTTAGCTCAACGTTCATTAATAGCTCAGAGGAAATGAATGTAGCTGGGTTAGCTAGCAGGCTAACTGAGATCACTGAGGAAGTTTTTATCTGTTATTAGATAACGACTGAAATACGACCAGCAGCATCATCTGATAACTTAATGTCTGATGAAACAGGAGACACACATATGAAAATTTGGTGAGATATCAGTATTAATCCTGCTGATATTATTTATGTTGTATTGATGTTTCGCTACGTTTTAACACCATGTCTGTGATGCTTCGTCTCCTCAAACAATAACAAAATGGACGTTAACATCGGTTGTTGATTTCATCCCAGTTTTGCTTTTTGACTGATCAATATGTTAAAAAATAACTGCCTGATATTGATCGCAGTGTTTTGTGCATCCCTAGAAATGAATGGCTGAAGAACATTGTGAGAAAAGGAAACGTATGAAGGATTAAACTGAGAGCAGAACCCTGAGGAACTCCATCACACAACCTGGAAAAGATCATTTCCAGATTTTGCTGACCTGTCTCCATGTCTGATTGGCAGCTCCAAGCTCCGCCCCCAAAGACCTGACGGTCATCAGTCGGGAAGGACGCCCTCGCGCCGTTCTCATCAGCTGGCAGCCGCCGATGGAAGCGAACGGACGGATCACAGGTCCGACAGCCGGCTGCTGACGCACATCACAGAAACACCGTTTTCATTTCCCCTCATTGTTTCTGCCTCTGCTGGTTAATATTGGGAGGCGACTCTAAGAATCTGAACAGTTTGACTCCACATGAAACCTTCCCCTCCATTGTTCCTGCTCTGTTCAGGAACAATGGAGGTTTGTTTTTAACGAGCTGCTCTGGTCCTGGAGCGACCCGCAGGACGCCTCATGCGACCCTCAGGACGCCTCATGCGACCTGCAGGACGCCTCATGCAACCTGCAGGACGCCTCATGCGTCCCGCAGGACGCCTCATGCGTCCCGCAGGACGCCTCATGCATTCCGCAGGATGCATCATGCAACCTGCAGGACGCCTCGTGCAACCTGCAGGACGCCTCATGCGTCCCGCAGGACGCCTCATGCAACCTGCAGGACGCCTCATGCAACCTGCAGGACGCCTCATGCATTCCGCAGGATGCATCATGCAACCAGGCTGCATCAAGCAGGCGGCGCAGCACATCCACACACCCGGCGCCTCCACGCGTTAAACTTTCTCTACGTCTGTTTCCAAACAACTCATTCAATCTGCTAACGTCTCACAGGCTACATCCTGTTCTACACCCTGGATAAGAACATGGCGATCGACGACTGGGTGATGGAGGCCATCAGCGGCGACCGGCTGACCCACCAGGTCGTGGATCTGAACCTCGACACCGTTTACTACTTCAGGATTCAGGCCAAAAACGCCAAAGGAGTGGGCCCTCTGTCGGAGCCGGTCCAGTTCAGGACGGCTAAAGGTGGGTCGGGTTTCAAGCCGAGGCCGCCGTCCAGTTTGAGGTTCTTCTGCTTCTGATTGGTTTGTTTCTGTTGCAGTGGAGCTTCCAGACAAGATGGCCAACGATCAAGGTACAGTTCATCCCATCTGACTCAAAATGGCTTCAATTTATTTAAAAATACGTTATTCAAGTTAAAATATGTTATAACAGGATAAAATATGTTATTCTGTTTTTTTCTCTTGCTAACTGGCTAGCGAGAGCTAGCTGTTTTCAGTTTGTTGCCTGATGGCTGGACAAAGTTTGAATATTTATGAGGAGAGAAAAATCTTAGTGTTCATTAAGAATGGTCTTAAATTCATGCATCTAAAATTAAGGCCTTAAAACGTCTTAAATTGGTTTTTAGAAGTAAATTAACTTTTAATGTGAAAAACAGATTTTATGTTACATCAGAACAAACTTGTTTTCGTATTTTATGTTTAAAATCTCTAAAGTCTTCAGAGAAAAAAAAAACAAGAGAAGAAACTTCAACTTCAGGAATGAGAAACAATGTGTGTCTTTATATTTGGCTTATTAATGTGATTGTATTCCAGAGACTAAGTCACATTAAAGGGACATTTACTATATTCTTTGGTTTGGAGTGAAGCTGCCAGCATCATCACAGGAAACCGTTCACACAAAAACACTGAAGGGAGGAGAGCAGCAGCTCCTCTGCTTCCTCTAATCTTTCCAAACAACATTGTTTCTGTGAACCGAAGCAAAAAACGCTCGCTAATTAAGCCGCACAATAACTTATCCTTTCAGAGAGGCAAATAAAAAGCAGAGAAGAAGACGTAACGGCAGTGGGCTGTTTTCAGAACCAAACTGAAGTTTATCTGTTGAACTCAGATGTAATTAAGGTTCCCTTCACTGAGTTCATTCATCAACAAACACACAGCTTGGTGCTAATGAGCGCTCAGAGACGTGGCTCGTCTGACATGAAGGCTGCGAATAAAACGCCGTTTTGCAGCCTGTGAATCTAAACTGTAATGAGTTTCAGTATCAGTGTGAAGCAGAATCTCAGTCTGCGGTTAGCTGGACTGAAACCAGCAGCAGAGCGTCATCAGCAGAGCGCCATCAGCAGAGCGCCATCAGCAGAGCGTCATCAGCAGAGCGCCATCAGCAGAGCGTCATCAGCAGAGCGCCATCAGCAGAGCGCCATCTGCAGAGCGTCATCAGCAGAGCGCCATCAGCAGAGCGCCATCAGCAGAGCGCCATCAGCAGAGCGCCATCTGCAGAGCGCCATCAGCAGAGCGCCATCTGCAGAGCGCCATCAGCAGAGCGTCATCAGCAGAGCGCCATCAGCAGAGCGTCATCAGCAGAGCGCCATCTGCAGAGCGATACTTTATACAGCAGAGCGCCATCTGCAGAGCGCCGCCATCAGCAGAGCGCCATCAGCAGAGCGCCATCTGCAGAGCGCCATCAGCAGAGCGCCATCAGCAGAGCGTCATCAGCAGAGCGTCATCAGCAGAGCGCCATCAGCAGAGCGCCATCAGCAGAGCGTCATCAGCAGAGCGCCATCTGCAGAGCGTCATCAGCAGAGCGCCATCTGCAGAGCGCCGCCATCAGCAGAGCGCCATCAGCAGAGCGCCATCAGCAGAGCGCCATCAGCAGAGCGCCATCAGCAGAGCGCCACCATCAGCAGAGCGCCACCATCAGCAGAGCGCCACCATCAGCAGAGCGCCATCAGCAGAGCGTCATCAGCAGAGCGCCATCAGCAGAGCGCCATCTGCAGAGCGCCATCAGCAGAGCGCCATCAGCAGAGCGTCATCAGCAGAGCGCCATCAGCAGAGCGCCATCAGCAGAGCGCCATCAGCAGAGCGCCATCAGCAGAGCGCCATCAGCAGAGCGCCATCAGCAGAGCGCCATCAGCAGAGCGCCATCAGCTGGGATGACATAAACAGACAATATTTGTTTCTAAAAAATTATATTAAGACAATAAATATCAGCTGTCAGCCATATTGGTAGTATTAATATGGGATATCGATTGGCTCAGAATACCAATAGGTTCATCCTGAAGTTACTGCATCAGACGAAGTTTACTAACACTTTCAGATAAAATATTCAGTTTTACTGTTTCTTTCTTTCTTTATTAGTGATTTTATGATCTAACAGAAACTAAATCTTCAGCTATCAACACTTCAATCCAGCATGTTTTAAACCACCTAAAGGCTACAAGTTCAGAAGCTCTGCCTTCCTGTTACTTGCTGAAAGTGTTGCTCTCTCTCACCGTCTCGCAGCCTCGACCACAGAAAAGATATTTTCTCTTCTGGTAGTTTCCTCTGACTGTGTTTGAAACTCTTCAGCCAAACCAAAAGTAAAGATTTTCTCCAGAAACTCAAGATTTCAAAGCAATTTTTGTTTATTGTTAAAAAAATTACAATCAAGTTCAATTTACTTGCATAAAAATCCCTTCTAGTTCCTGCAGTGAAATAGGAATTAAATAACAAGCCACACATGTACTTCAGGACTAAATTAAACCTGTTTAGGTTTTTAAATCCATTTCAGTTTTTCCTATATTCATATTTTCCCACAGATTTTATTTCTCTGAATTCCACAAATTACAACATAAAATGTTTCTTTCATTCAAAACGTCTTCATTCGTGACGAGTTAAAGAGTTGGGAGAAAATTATCCAGATTCAAAAGCAACAATTTAATAATTTAATGGTGTTTTCTTTAAATGAGCCTTAAAACCTTAAAACCTACCATGCAGGTGCATCTATTTGATTTTTTAAATAGAAATGAGTTTATTAATGTATAAAATCCCTTCAGACATTTCATCAGCCTTACAGCAGCGCTAACAATGATGCTAACTATGTTTTTATTGTTAAATATGTATTTTATCCTGAGGCGTTTCCTGCTCCAGCTCAAAGGTTCTGGTTCTGGTTCTGGTTCTGGCCCATTTCAGCCTCATTTAAACAAAACACTTAAACATGTGAAAGCTTTCTGAGCTGAAACCGGCGTGGGAATGATGGTTTTAAAGAGCGCCGCCACTTTAAATAACTGCAGGTTGCAGCGGCGTAAAAACACTCATGTGAAAGTAAATGTGAACGGCGGATAAGACGTTTGGAAACCAGTCATGCAGAAAGACGCTGCAGTCTGAGGCTCTGGAAACGGCAGAATCAGACAGAAACGGGACGGCGCGCTGCGGCGCCCGGCGCTGCGGCGCCCGGCGCGCTGCGGCGCCCGGCGCGCTGCGGCGCCCGGCGCGCTGCGGCGCCCGGCGCGCTGCGGCGCCCGGCGCGCGCGCGGCGCGCCCGCGCGCTGCGGCGCCCGGCGCGCTGCGGCGCCCGGCGCGCTGCGGCGCCCCGCGCTGCGGCGCCCGGCGCGCTGCGGCGCCCGGCGCGCTGCGGCGCCCGCGCTGCGCGCCCGGCGCGCTGCGGCGCCCGGCGCGCTGCGGCGCCCGGCGCGCTGCGGCGCCCGGCGCGCTGCGGCGCCCGGCGCGCTGCGGCGCCCGCGCGCGCGCGCCCGGCGCCCGCTGCGGCGCCCGGCGCGCTGCGGCGCGAAAATCCAAATGGTGTTAAGAAAGAAGCCGTCACTCAGGTTCTGGTTCTGGCTCTGTTGGTTCTGTTTCTATTCCTGGTTCTGCTGGTTTTGTTTGTGCTGACCTTTGACCTTTGCCCTGCAGGTCGGGGAGAACACGCCTTCTGGCCGTCCGACACCAACCTGATCGACAGGAGCAGCATCAACGGTACCAGAACCACATCTTGCTTCTCCGGGTCCGGCTGTCAGAACCTGCTACCGGGCCGGACGGCAGCACCGCCGGGCCCGGACCCGTCTGGATGTTAGCACTGCGCTAACTCCAGAGCTAATCTAGTATTTTTGCTAACTTTGAAAGCGTTTAGCTTCCTCTGAACTCTTTCCAGATAAATTCTAATTTTCAGATTTTCAGTTCGTCGCGTTGAAGTTTGGCTGCCAGTGTTTATATTCATGCTCTTATTTTGGAGTCTGTTTACCGACCAGGTCTGTTTCCTCTTCTCATGTTACCCAGAATGCACTGCTGTAGCTCTACTGTTTACAATCTGCTGATGTCTGAACTGTTACTCTAGTTAATTAGCCAACATTAGCGACAGTTAGCGAAACTGAACAACATAAAACCGAAACCGTGAGTGAAGGTCAGTTCCAAAAAATCACTTCCTGAAGCACAAAATACACTGAAAAACTTAAAAACTTGACTCTGCTTACAGTGAAATGACACGTCAACATTAGCATTAGCCATTAGCTTCTGCTAAATACCGTTTTGAATAGCATTTTAGCATTAGCTTCTAGTAATGTCTACATTGGTATTGCACATTTCCGCTAGCGTCCTTGTTGGTTTTGGGTTTAGCGTTAGCTTCTGCTAAAGCCATGCTGATATAGTTTTTAGCGTTAGCTTCCCCATTAGCATTAGTGTATGTTTGACTTTATTTTCTCCAAGGATAAATTCTTTAACCAAACTGATCATAAATAGTGTTTATATTTATTGCTGTATGGTTTATATTTTTGACCTTCAGCAGAATCTCAGTTCATTCAGTCATTTGGTTCGTTAACGACGAGCTTAAAGCTCTAACGGCTCGGCCTGCTGCTGTAAATCATCCCAAACGTTTCATTTTATTGCTCCATGGAAAGAAATTGTTGGCTTGGTTTTCCTTCAGAGGTCAGAGTCAATATCTGGGGCTGATGCTGCGTCTGTTTGGACGGCAGCTGAACAGTGCGGAGCGTGAACTCTTAGCAGACATTGTTCCTTGCGCCGGCAGTGCCCATAAATCCCTCCGCTCTGACCTTTGACCTCCTCTGACGGTATGGCGGGTCGTCGAGGTCGGATCCTCGTTCATCAGCTCAGCGATATTTTATCTTTATTGCCGCGTCGTTTGTGTCGCAGCGCGTCGTCCCGCTGTGGCGGACGATGACCTCCGACTTCACCAAAGGTCACTTCCTGCAGACCTGCTGCTGATTGGACGGCGGCACGCGGCGGCGGCGGTTTGGGTGGCGCCATGCTGCAGCAGTGATGCTTCTGCTGCATCTTAATTCTGCCTTTCTTTTCCCAAGGGAGGCCGGCGCTCGCAGTCGTCAAGATGTAAACCTCTGCTGATAGCACAGAGCAATTAAAGTTAAAAATATCTGCGATTTCTGGAAAAAGCCATTTCAGCAGCTATAATGGAGGCATTAACATCTTTAGCCTTTGTAATTTCCTAAATCTTCCCTCAAGTAGCTTATGAGAGAAGCCACTCACTTTCTCTGCTCTTTCCTTTTTTTGCTGCATATTATTCATTTCAGTTAAAGTTCAAATGTAACAGAAGAAAATACAGCAGAGTCTGCTGGTCAACAGGCAAATCTTTTAAAAGTTTCGTTTTCTCTCAGCCCTTTAGCAGCTTGTTGGGACTGGTTCTACCTCCTGGAGCCAGCATGCAGCCCTGCAGACAAATCCCACTCACAAAGTCTTTTAGCTGACAGCAGCAATGAAAGAGTTTCAGTTCTCTGCTCCGGAGGCACGGCGGTGGCAGCATGATGTCACCTTGATGTTCAGATGGGCTGAGTGGTTAAACCAAACTTGTTGAACCTGATGGGCTTTTCAGGATCTACCCTTCCTGCAGACCACACCTTCCCTGCAGACTTTTCTGTTTGGTCTTTACCCTCAGGGCAGCGCTACAGAGACTTGCTAGCATTAGCAGAAACAGTTTCCATATCAATTCCCTTGAATATTTGCACAAATTTAAACTTGTCTTCATATTTTTCTATGTATAAAAAAACCCTCCAACCTCTGAGCTGATTATTGATTATCAGAAAACTTTCCTCCATCTGATTAATCGTCTCCAAACTCGTCATAAACTGCGGCTGCCGCAAGTTTTCATATCTTCCTGTGAAAACCTGCGGGTTTAAATGAAACCTTATTATGAGAGTTTCACTATGAAACATTAGCTGTAGCTTTAGCAGCTTTAGCATTAGCAGCTGTAGCAGCTTTAGCATTAGCAGCTGTAGCAGCTTTAGCATTAGCAGCTGTAGCAGCTTCAGCAGCTGTAGCAGCTTTAGCATTAGCAGCTGTAGCAGCTTTAGCAGTAGCAGCTTTAGCATTAGCAGCTGTAGCGGTGATCTGTTCTGATCATCCCGGGCTCCTGGTGAAGTGAGGAGGCGTCGGCTCCGGTTGTCTCATAAATCAGCAGGTGATGCAGGAGTTGAGGTGCATTAACTTAACAAGGTGTTAAATGTTTTCATTCAGCGCTGGGATAATTATGATAGCAGGTCATTAATCAAGTCTTTTCCTGGTCTCCGCCCGGGAGAGTAATTAGTCTGTCAGTCTGCCCGTCCTGACCCAGGCTCCTCAACTTCTCCGCCCGCCGACGACAGCAGAGAAGTTTGACTTTAACGATCTGCGGCTTCGCTCCCTCAGAGCGGCGGCGACTCGCTGCAGAACCAAATCGATGCAGAATGTGGAAAACAGAGGGCGGCTTTATTAGATGGAAGTTTAAAGGAAAGCAGCGCGGAGTGAAAGCGGTCTGCAGCGGGAAGCTTTGATGGATTGAGCTTTTCATTGGGAGAGACGAGCGAGTGGAGGAGAGCTGGAGGGCCTCCCTGCATCGCTCCAGCGTTTCTCTTCATTTCTTCCTTTCATCGTCTTCTCTCCACCTTCACTGGGTTTTTCCTCCTTTCTTCTGCTTCGGTCTCTGCCTCCAAGGTCAGCTTGATGTTTCAGTCTTGAACTCTTCCCTCCATGCAGACGGATGACCTGCAGTTCTTTCCAGTTATTCCAACATGGCCGCTCGCGGTGCAGCAGCTCCTCGTCTGGTCCAGATGCTGCTTTCTGCTTTATGTGTTGCTGCGTAACCCTGGCGACCGTCTCCTCCAGCCGTCATCATGGCCGATCATCGGCGAGTAGTAGGAGAAAGTAGCAGCAACTAAAGATCACAACCGACCTGGTCGCACAAGTTGGATATAAATTTAAGAGAAAAGAGAACAAAGTTTTTTCATTTAGTTTTTAATATTGTTTCAAGAGCTGATCTTTTTTTGGTGTATTTTAAATTTTTTCTATTTTAATTTTCTACTCCATCTCATCACTGTAAGGTCTCAGTCATTTACTTGTTTATAGAAATACATTTAATCAGATGTTTTTGGTATTTTGCTGTATTTTCTGTCCTTTGTTCCGTTTTATCAGATGAATGTTTAGTTGTCAGTTTTCTGCTGTTGAGTCGAAATCAGATCAGTGAAGGACTTTCACAGTTCCGATTTTAATAAGCTGACTCCGCCCCCGATGTGTCCAGAGTCTCCATTGGTCAGATGCGTCCGCCGCACGGCAGCGTCACGCCTCAGAAGAACAGCTACCTGCTGGTCATCATCCTGGTTTCCGTGGGCGCCATCAGCGTGGTGGTCGTCACGGCGCTCGTCTGCATCCACCGCTCGTCCTCCCAGCAGAGGAAGTAAGACGTCCTTCATGATCGAAGGCCAACTTTCTAACCGTCTTTATGTGACTCTGAAGGTCCAAACCCAGATTCCAGCCTGATCTCTAGATCTATAAGCATAGATCTAGAACATCAGTGCTAGAACAGGAAGGGTTCTAGTATTGAGCCTTGGGGAACTCCTCATGTGATTTCTGTCTGTCAGTCAGAAATTCTTGAAGTTCCAGTTCTTTGGACTCTGGTCCAGAACCGGTTCTGAGAGGTTAACTGACCTCGTTGCCTGACCCGGCAGGAAGCGGGCCAGCCACGGCGCCGGGAAGCGGAAGGGCAGCCAGAAGGAGCTGCGGCCGCCGGACCTGTGGATCCACCATGAGGAGATGGAGATGAAGAACCTGGAGAAGGCGCCGAGCATCGCGCCGTCCGGACGCGACTCGCCGCTGCAGGCCTGCCAGGACCGCCCCCAGGTGGCCCACAGCCAATCAGAGAGCCAGATGGGCAGCAAGAGCAGCCACTCAGGTACCGGCAGCCGCTTCCTGGCAGAACCTCAGAGTTCTGCTCGGAGACGCGTCTGGAGCTGACGCGGCGTTTCCTCCAGGAGCCGACGGCGACGAGGCGTCCAGCGGCATCTCCACTCTGGACCGGTCCGTCACGGCCAGGAGGGGAACCAGGGGCAAGATGATGATCCCCATGGACCTGCAGCCCAGCAACACGCGTAGGTCACACTGTGTGTGTGTGTGTGTGTGTGTGTGGTGTGTGTGCGCGTCTGTGTGAGTGTGTGTGTGTGTGTGTGTGTGTGTGTGTGTGTGTGTGTGTGTGTGTGTGTGTGTGTGTGTGTGTTGTGCGCGTCTGTGTGAGTGTGTGTGTGTGTGTGTGTGAGTGTGTGTGTGTGTGCGCGTCTGTGTGAGTGTGTGTGTGTGTGTGTGTGTGTGTGTGTGTGTGTGTATGTGAGTGTGTGTGTGTGTGTGCGCGTCTGTGTGAGTGTGTGTGTGTGGTGTGTGTGTGTGTGTGTGTGTGTGTGTGTGTGTGTGAGAACTTTAGCTGCTTCTGCTCCTTTAGAGTCAGAGGCTATTTATTCCTGATCATCGATCTGATGAGGATCAAGAAACACGAGACGATTCTGGATTATTGAAATAAATAAAGAAATGAAAAGTTAAAAAAATATAAAAGAAAAGAAAAGAAGGGAAATGGAGAAAAGAAAGAAAGGAAGGAAAAGAAAAAGGAAAAAATAAAAATGTAAATTTACTGATCCAGGTTTTTTTTTCTTGCTGCTTTATCTTCCATATTAGGAATGAAACTGATTTGATCTTAAACTGGTTCTGAAACATACAAATAAAAACTAAAGGCCTCAGTTAGCAGGTCAAAGGTCACGGCTCTGAGCCAACATGGCTGCTGTGAAGGCAGCAGCAGAGATCCTGTTCTGGACGCTCTGAGTTCTGTAACGTCTATGGAAAGTTCAGCATAAGGCAAAACGTCTTGTGAAGTTTGGCGGTCGGCTCTCCGGGCCGACCAGAACCGTCCAGAACCTCCGGCAGCGCCGCTCCGGCTTTAAACTCCAGATCTTTTCTTCTCCTCCTCCTGGGTGACGGTTCTGATGCTGCTGAGTTATTTCATATTCTGAGCAGCAGCATTAATTCCAGCGCCGGAAGCGCGACTCGACGGTGACTGGAATAAGAAAGAGCCAGGAGTTAATGTTCTGCTGCGCCACTCCACTCATCCTTCAGGGAGCTTATTAAAAGATAATTTGGGCCCAAATGAAGAGATGATGGACGCCTTGTGGGAGAACACTCCAGTCCTAAAAGTCTTTGTTCCCTTTACTTAAACTACAACCGCAGAAGATTCAAAACTCCCAATATGAGCAAATATTATTCATCTGGATGGACTGCAAACGTCTTAATGCACAAAACTAAACTAACTTAAATATCGGAGCTTATTTAGGTCAAACATTCCTTAAAAGAACTAGTTCATGGAAAAATAGGTTTCAATCCATCAGATTACAGCAACACATTTCTGCCCATCAGGGGTTATAATAGAATAATCTGCCAGAGGAAATAATTCTCTTTTTTTCATCAGTTTTAATGGAAAAGTATCTGAAAACTTACTCGTTTAGTTTTGTCTTATTTTTAAGTGTGATGAAATATTTGGACTAGAATAAAAGACAAAAAATATTTAGTGGCGACTGTTCTGATGCTGCTGCCTTTGATGCTGCTGCCTTTGATGCTGCAGCCTCTGATGCTGCAGCCTTTGATGCTGCAGCTCTCTGCTGTGAGTCTGTTTGGGCTCATTAGAGCAGCAGCATCACTGGGTCGGTTCAGATCCAGCATCACGGAGAAAAGAACTCAGTCAAATGTTTAGTGGAAGCTAATGCTAAATGTCCCTCAGCAGAAACAGGATTAGGATCCAGAACCAGGATCCTACCAGCACCAGATTCTGGTTCTGGTAGGATATTCTGCTTCCACTAACAGAAAAATCACCAACAGAGAAATGATTGAAAGCAACTTCCTGTTCCCAGCAGGAAACGCAGGAATGATGTAGAAAATATGAGATGAAGGAAGCAGAGATGAGGACAGATTTATAAAACGTGACGAACGGACGGATCCGCTAACTCAACAGCTTTAGTCTTAAACATTAGTTATACTAAAGCGCTACACCAACACTTTGTTTAGTGGAAGCTAATGCTAAAGCGCTACACCAACACTTTGTTTAGTGGAAGCTAATGCTAAAGCGCTACACCAACACTTTGTTTAGTGGAAGCTAATGCTAAAGCGCTACACCAACACATTGTTTAGCGGAAGCTAATGCTAAAGCGCTACACCAACACTGTTTAGCGGAAGCAAATGCTAAAGCGCTACACCAACACTATTTAGCGGAAGCTAATGCTAAAGCGCTACGACAGCATGGCATTTAGCAGAAAATAGCGTGCTAAGCTAACGTTAGCGCAGTAGCGTGGTCAACTCAGCTTAGCTTATTGCTCTGGAATTAAAAAACACTTTAAAAATGCATTTTTTAAGCTTCAAATGTTTTGGCCCATAAAGTTCTGATTCAGAGACGGGTTAGCCTGAGAGAGAACTCAGAGAGAACCAGCAGGGCGACCTCAGCTTGAGGTATGGACTAGGCCGTTCTTACTGCTAGGCAGCATGATTTCTTGCCGTTCAGGCTCAGTTATGATAAATAGAATAAATAAATTAAACACAGCTAAGTGCTAGGCTAATGAAGTCTTTTAATCCAATATCGGGGCTGCTGTTCCTGTTTCATCGCCGCTGTAACGTCTCTGCTCCTCCTGCCACGTTTCTGCGATTTGTGTGTGAAGCTGCTTTAATTCCCACTGAGCCGAAGATGTCGAACATCTCAGCGTGAAGCAGATCTGGTTCTGCAGCAGCGCAGCATCTAATTACAGCCTCTGTTCTGCCTGTGTGCAGCGGTTCTGGGTCCAGTTCTGTTTCTGGATCTCAGAGTAATTATCTGGCTCTCAGGACGCCGACAGTCTTTTAGGGATTCTCTCTCTTCTCATTTTCCACCTTGTTGTGGTTGTTGTTGTTTAACAGAAACCACCAACTGAACACCGACAAGCAGGTTACAGCCGTGGGAGGAACACACACACACACACACACACACGCAGACACACACAGAGTCACGCAGAGATACACACACACACAGAGATAGACACACACACAGACACACACACACACACACGCAGACACAGAGAGACACACACAGACACACACAGAGTCACGCAGAGATACACACACACACAGACACACACACAGACACACACACACGCAGACACAGAGAGACACACACACAGAGATAGACACACACACACACACACACGCAGACACACACAGAGTCACGCAGAGATACACACACACACAGAGATAGACACACACACAGACACACACACACACACACGCAGACACAGAGAGAGACACACACAGACACACACAGAGTCACGCAGAGATACACACACACACACACACAGACACACACACACAGCTTCATGTTTGCATTTGTTTGAATTTGAGCCAAAACATCTGAGCCTCCTTCATAAAACAGGACAGTTTTCGACTTTTTTCCATTTTTGAATTTTCTCCCAGTTATGATTAAATATTAATGAAGATAAAATGATGTGGTCTCTTTACATAAAGAGAACTATTGGAAAATACAAATTGTCATTAAGTTATCTCCTCGCTGTGTTTAGCCAGCACCAAAATAAAAAATGTGGAGACAAAAATAAAAAAACATTAACAGTTTTTTAAAAACTGAATGAAAATAATTGTGTAACTAAAACATAATTTTAAAATAAAAATTTAGTTTGAAATATTTCTCAAGCAAAAAAAATATTTTTAAAATAAAAAAATATTTGGAAATACAATTTAAAAGGAAAATAGTAATGTAAAAACTTAAACTAAATAATTGAACAGATTTTTGTTAAATTGAATAAAACACTTCAAACTAAAATAAATCCTCAGACTGAACTTCAGGAACGTCAGGATACTTCCTCCACGTTCCAGTCGGAGCGATGCCGTCAGAAAACCAGAACAACATTTTCTCTTGTTCAGCTCCATCGATCGCAGCATCGATCAGGACGTATTGATAAGCACCGATCCGATCAGCAGATTTAATTTGTGCCGATTTGAGCTGCGATCATTTTAAGAGAAGCAGAGTTGATTACAGATGAGAATCAACATACAGATGAGATTACAGATGAGAATCAGGCCATACCCGTATGGCCTGATCCATACGGGTATTGATCGGGGATATCGATGGATCTGGGAGGCTACAGGTCCATCCTGCCTGCAGCAAGCAGAAACTGAAACCAAGCTGGAAGTTCAGGATCTGTCTTCCTTCCACCGACGTTTCCAGATTTTTGTTCTTTATGAAAACCTTTCTGAGCAAAGAAAAGAAAACGAGAACAAAAGTAGATCAGAGTCGAGACGTTGAGAGGAAACAGAACCAATAACCTGAAGGATTAATTTCATTTTCATCAGACCAGAGAGGTGAAAATATTTCTGCTTCTGATCACTAAACTAAGACGAGACACAGGAAACCTGACAGCTGCTCTCAGATTCTGATTCACTCCAAACCAAACTGGCTCATGTGACAGGATTCACGCCTGAATGGATCATTTAGGGAAACTTCATGGTTTAAAGAGAAAAACACGGTTCACCTCTGGAGACTCACCACAACCACAAAACCTCAGGGCATCTAAAGTTTTAATGGCCTAGTCAAAGTTCATACCTCCATCTGATTGAAAATCTGATCAGAACCTGCAGAGATGAAAGTGTGAAAAACTTAATGAAGTGAAACTGAGCTGGAAAAGATGTGATGTGATGAAGTCAGACAGAAACTGTTTAAATTTTAAAAAGTTTAAAGAAATGATAAAAATTTAATGTAGATAAAGTTTAATATATATTACGGCTAGCTAAAACATTAGCGTTGCTAACCCTGAAGCACCGATCAGAAACTCTGGACTAACTAACTTTAATTCTCAATATAATTGAAAGACATGGAGCTGAACAGAAATAAAATCAGATTTTATTTGCTTCGTTGTATTAGAATTGCTGTTTTCCCTCCATGTTAAAGGAACAGATTAGAAAACCTATTTTTGTCTTTTACCTTCAGCGCCTGCTGAACAAAGAGTGAGAGTGTGGGAGTTTTTTAATCAAACATGAAGGATTACTGAGAGACAACAGAGTGCACAGCTGCACTCATTCTGCCTGGATGTGTTTTAGAAAAGACAAAAGGAAATATATACGTGCAGCTTCAGACAATAATAGGAACTGGGGGAGCTCCTTATCTTCCAAACAGGCCTGAGGAGCCGTGCAGTGATTTTTCTCTGTGTGCTGTAGACCTGAGGCGCTGTGTAATCAGTCTCACTGAGCTCGCCTCCCTGCAGTTTCCTCTCAAGGTCACAGTATGAACTCTGTCTGCCTTCCTCCTCCTCCTCCTCACACCTCCAGACCCGGCTGTGCTGCAGCGGTGCAGCCGGATCCGCAGCCGTTGTGCAGCGCGTCTCCCCGCCAGTGGGTAACGAGGTCGTTTAAGCCTTAATGTGTCTCTGCTGTGATCGCGCCGTTTGATTGTAGTTTTGTTTTTATGGCCGCAAATGAAGCCAGAAGACAAACTGTGGAGTTTCTGCTGCCAGAATCAGCTGAAAAATCAACTCAGAAACTCCAGCATCTTAAAAACATCCTGCAGCGGTAGAACTGGGCCACGGTGACCCAAACGATCTTTGCTACAAGTTTTAGAGTTTGAAGCCTGTAAGTTTTCACGTCCTGACCCAGACGCTGGGATCTGGCTCCTGATCTGCCTCAGAGCGAGGAGAGAGCAGGCTGCCTTCAGTAGGGAGGAACCACGCTCACTGCTTGCCATAGTTTCCCGTATTTACCCGCCAGCTGTTTTAGCATGAGCTAGCATGCTGTCAGCATACTACAACTCTTCATTGCAGCGTGATAAACTTATGCTACCAAGTTAGCATCAGTAGGATCTTCAGCTCTCAGTGAGATGTTGAGTTCCTTTAAGGCAAAAAAACATAAATCTTCCTTGGAGAAAAAAAGCAATTGACATTTAACATGCAAACGACAAATGAAGTATGATGAAGTACATGGATTTTAACAGGTTGAAAATGTTAGAGCATTATGAATTTAATTCAAAGGTTCCCGGCAGAACTTATGTTTCTGGTACGCCCATAAATGTGACGCACAGCTACAACCTCTCACATTAATGGACAGCTAAGCTGCTTCTGAACGATCTGATTGGACGCTGGAAAAGACTATTGTTGTGTTCAAACAACAATAGTTTGAACGCAGACTATTGTTGTTAGCTTTTAGCACAACACAGTTGTTAGCTGCTACTGTGTTAGCATGTAGCAGCTAACAATCCAGATTTCTAAAGAAGCTCCGTGAATGATCAGGGCTTCCTGAAACACTTTAAGAACAGATTAAAAACTTCTACTCATGTTTTTATTTATCTAATAATTTAGCAGCAATTTGAAAATGTTTTATTTTTTGACTCTGCTCAGTTAAGAATTTTAGAAGAGTTTTATAGCTTTTAGTGAGCTGTTCCCACTGCGGGTTATTCTCGACCTGATGGAGCCAGATGTTCCTTCATATGACGTTACAGAGACTTTTATCATGATCAACAAGGTTCACTTGGTATCTAAAATTCTTGATCAAATGTTTCGAAAGCTTAGGAGTAGAGAAAATAGTAGAAATTATTTTAAATAAATATGAAAAATATTTAATTGGAAAGTAGCACCGCCTGTCCAGACAGTTGGACTGAAAGCTAAAGTTATGCTAAATAGTGCGCTAGCTGTTCCTTCTGCTGTGTTGCTAATGCTGTCCAGTTTGGCTAATAGCGTCTTCCTGTTTGTGTTCCAGCTGTGGTCAGCGCCATCCCGGTTTCTACGCTGGAATCCTCTCAGTATCCGGGGATTCTGCCGTCACCGTCCTGCGGCTTCACGCACAACAAGTTCAGCCTCAGGCCCATGCCGTTCCCAGCCTGACGGTGGACAGAGGATACACAGCAGGTACCCAGATACACACCGCAATACACACCACGACACACACCGCAATACACACCACGATACACACCACGATACACACCACGATACACACCAACACACACCAACACACACCATGATACACACCACACACACCACGATACACACCACGACACACACCACAATACACACCACGATACACCACGACACACACCACAATACACACCACGATACACACCACACACACACCACGACACACACCAACACACACCACGATACACACCACGATACACACCACGATACACACCACGATACACACCAACACACCACGATACACACCACGACACACACCAACACACACCACGACACACACCACGATACACACCGCAATACACACCAACACACACCAACACACACCATGATACACACCACACACACCACGATACACACCACGACACACACCACAATACACACCACGATACACACCACGACACACACCGCAATACACACCACGATACACACCGCAATACACACCACGATACACACCGCAATACACACCAACACACACCATGATACACACCACGACACACACCACAATACACACCACGATACACACCACACACACCACGACACACACCAACACACACCATGATACACACCACGACACACACCACAATACACACCGCAATACACACCAACACACACCACGATACACACCACGACACACACCACAATACACACCACGATACACACACACACACCACGACACACACCAACACACACCATGATACACACCACGATACACACCGCAATACACACCAACACACACCACGATACACACCACGACACACACCACAATACACACCGCAATACACACCACGATACACACCACGATACACACCACGATACACACCACACACACCACGACACACACCAACACACACCACGATACACACCACGATACACACCACACACACCACGACACACACCAACACACACCACGATACACACCACGATACACACCACGATACACACCACACACACCACGACACACACCAACACACACCAACACACACCACGACACACCACACACCACGATACACACCACGATACACACCACGATACACACCAACACACACCACGATACACACCACGATACACACCACGATACACACCAACACACACCGCAATACACACCACGATACACACCAGGTACCGACACGTGAATTCAATCATCTCTACAATTATGCAACCTTACGTCTTTGAAAAGCAGGAGTGGAGCTTCCTGCACGACCAACAAGAATGCAGCAAGTGGTTTCTGGATGTTAAGTCTTTTCCGGAGCATTGTGCAGAGCATACAGCGGTAAAACCAGCTGACCAAAGGTGCTGGAGCCCAGCTGAGTTGCTAGGTAACGGCACAGTGTGACTCACCAACCTGGAGGTTTTATGAAATAGCTGGAAATAGCAGGTAGAAGCAGTGGAAACTCAAATGTCTCTTTTCTTTAATCCTCCAACAAAACAATCAAAACAATCTGAGCTGTGGACAGAAATGACTAAATGAAACCTTTCATTCGTCCATTTTCAGGTCAGATTTACCTGCTAATATTAAAACGTCTCCAGCTCCCTCTGCTCTGATTTCTTTCTGCTCTTCTTAATCCTGGTTTTACTGCCAAAGCAGCAAGGAGGTGGGGAGCAGCAATTCAGTAATTGATTAATTCCTGCTTGGCTCGTGTCAGAGCGTTAACAGCAGCGCGGGGAGGCAGAGAGGCTTCAGAGTCATCGAGTCAGGAGGGCCGATCGCTGCTGGCAGAGCAGACAATCACAGCCGCTAACGACGCAGCCGCTAACAATCACAGCCGCTAACGACGCAGCCGCTAACAATCACAGCCGCTAACAATCACAGCCGCTAACGACGCAGCCGCTAACAATCACAGCCGCTAACAGACGCAGCCGCTAACAATCACAGCCGCTAACGACGCAGCCGCTAACAATCACAGCCGAGATATGATGAGAAACAGACGAAACGCAGAACAAGGGGAGATTTGAAGCTACAGTTTTCTCTTAACTACTGAGTCAGAATTAGAAACTTTATCCTGCGAAGCATCAAAAAGTTTCTGCTGGTCTGAGTCCCGGCTGTCATCATGGTGACGGGGAAACGCTAATGGAGATCAGGTCAGCCTTATTATCTCTGATCTCTTTCATTAGAAACATTCACAGGAAAATAGGTTTTAATAAAACCTTTAAAAAACTTTTGAACTGAAATGTTTCACTGAAACCAGCAGAAATTATGGGCTTCAGAAAAACTGCTCATAAAAACGGATACAAGGTTCTGTTGGCCCGGTTCTGTAGGCCCGGTTCTGTAGGCCCGGTTCTGTAGGCCTGGTTTTGTTGGCCGGGTTCTGTTGGCCGGGTTCTGTTGGCCGGGTTCTGTTGGCCCGGTTCTGTTAGGGGTTTTCGTGGGTTCTGGTGTTGAATCCTGATGGTGCCGTTGTTGTTGGTTGCTGTGGGACAGAAAAGAAAACCTGCAGAGGTTTTGAGTTTTTCTGAAACCTTCGTCTCCAGGTTTCATGTGGTTGTGCAGCAGCAGCGTTCAGCCGGCAGCAAGAGGCTGAAATTACAGCCTGATGTTTCCTGTAGTGATTTATTCAGAGTGAACATTTCCTCTCTTCCTGCTGCAGGAACCATTTTCCTCTCGTTTCTGTTGGTCATGAAGCGTCCAGATTAGTCTTTGTTTACAGTCAGCCTCTTTGTGCTGCATCCAGAGCGAAGCGTCCAGAGCGCGGCGTCCAGAGCGAGGCGTCCAGAGCGCGGCGTCCAGAGCGCCATGTTTGATGTTTCTCCACCAGACAGTCGCTCTAATTGAACTCTTCTTCTTCTTCTTCTTGTGTTTCTGTTTCCTGTCAGCGATGCCGTCGGACTCCTCCGCCGCCCCCCTGCTGCAGCAACAGGCTCCGCCCCCTCCGGCCGCCCCGCTGCTGCCCGGCTCTGCCGCTCCCGCCGCCGACCTGGCCCCCCGGTGGGGCCCGTGCCCGGCCGCCGCCGCATCGGGCCCCTCGGAGGAAGCCCAGGCGGCGGCCGCGCGCAGCATCCCTACGGCCTGCGTCCGGCCCACGCACCCCCTGCGCAGCTTCACCAACCCTCTGCTGCCGCCGCCGATGGGAACCATCGACCCCAAGGTCTACACCTCCATGCTGCCGCAGGCCAGTGAGTACCGCCCCCTGCTGGCAGGGCAACACTCGGCTCCAACGTTCAGATCGTTAAAGTTACACTGAAAAAACAAAATATCATTTTGTTCTGATTTATTCAAACTGAAAGGAAACTTTTTTCAGCTCAACTTGAGTTATTTTAGGGGTCAAAAGTTGAAACACTTCAGATTCTGCTGATATTTGGAGTCGATGATCTGATTATGATTATATTTAGTAAAATCTTCTCGTTTTTCGTCCTTGCTTGTGGCCAGCGCCTCGGGCTGAAGCATAGTTCTGTCTCAGCAGCTCAGACGTTTCATCTCCTCGTCCCATAAAAGAGAAACGTTTCGTCTTCAGCAGTTTGTCTCCTCTGATTCTTGTTCAACTCCAGGATGATGCAACATGAGAGCAAACATCTTCTGGTCCAAACATGAAACAGACCCACATCCAAAGACATGCAGCTTCTGTTTTACAGAGTCATCGCTTTAATCGGCTTTTCTGCTCTTTAAGGTGTGAAATTGGCTCAGGTCAGATCATTTTAATAAGCGCCCTGCTGTAATTCCTCACAGGAACCAGAGTTTCTGTTTGTCCGCTTTAAATAAAAGGAATCCGTTTTTCTGCGGCCGGCTGCTCGTTTTCTGTCATATTTCACATTTCAGGCCGGATCCTCTGCTTTCATATTTTACTCAGGGAAGCTGAATGCATCGGCCCCAGGCTGTTACACACACAGTGTGTGTTTGTATATCTTTAATACGCTGTAACCGGGCCTGACATTCGCCGGAGGGATGGAGGATCCGACCCGATCCGCCTCAGTTCTCCCTCTGCCATATCGTTACCTGTCTGTCTGTCTGTCTGTCTGTCTGTCTGCGCTCATGTCCAGCCGCTGCTGCAGCCTCACATTAAACCTGACAGACACTTGACCTGCAGCAAGCCGCCCTGCTGCAGCAAGCCGCCCTGCTGCAGCAAGCCGCCCTGCTGCAGCAAGCCGCCCTGCTGCAGCAAGCCGCCCTGCTGCAGCAGGCCTTCATAGGAAACAAAGTTACTCCAGGGTTTTGTTTTAGAACTAAAGCTAATTCTAGTCATTTAACTTACGGAAATTTGTGCAGATATTTTTGTTTAAATATAACCCGGGGTCATTTTGGTACATTATTGTCAAACTGTTTTACGTAAATGCTCTGCTTATATTCCCTGTTTTGTTTTTTTTCTCGTAATTTAAACTGAATCTGGTTTGAACAGAAGAATCAAATCTTTGGACACTGAAATATTTCCATCTCTACAGTTTATGAAGCTCTGAAGAAGCTCAGTTTATGAAGCCCCTAGTGTTCGGATAGACCGAACACTAGGGGGCAGTAGAACAGCTGCAATGTTACATTTCTATAGATCTTTTTATTTTGACTGCAGCTAAAAGCTAAAAACAGAAACAAACTGTTCATTATGGTCTGTGTGTGTGTGTGTGTGTGTGTGTGTGTGTGTGTGTGTGTGTGTGTGTGTGTGTGTGTGTGTGTGGTGTGTGTGTGTGTGTGTGTGTGTGGTGTGTGTGTGTGTGTGTGTGTGTGTTTCTATCATTTCTGTGTTTACATGCTCAGGCTGCCTCAGATTATCATTGATTTTTAGCTCCAGGAAACTTTTCACTCAGAGACTGTAAGCCTGAGGCAACAGGAGCCAGAGAGCAGGACTCACTGTTCCCTCATCGTTCCCTTACTGTTCCCTCATCGTTCCCTTACTGTTCCCTCATCGTTCCCTCACTGTTCCCTCATCGTTCCCTCACTGTTCCCTCATCGTTCCCTCACTGTTCCCTCATCAGGAAACGTCACATTTAATCAAAGCCTGAAGCTAAAACTAGCATGTATGCTAGTTTTAGCATAGATACTAGTTAGCATAAACACTGATGTTGTTTCCTTTCTTCTTTCCTTGCTAGTTAGTTAAACTCAGTTGTTTGTAATATGTTGACATTTATTTTATGACACATTGAAATGAACAAATAATTCATACAGAAACTTTTCATAAACGTGAAGACGATGAGGAAAACAAAGACCAGAAAGCAACAAGGATAATAAAACTAAAACTATTTAGGTCGCAGGATAAAAAAAAAGAAAAATAATCATCTTTACGTTTATTTAGTTCATTTTCAGTCTTTTTTCTCCTCCGACATAAAAACTGATTCCAGTTCATATTGAACCGTATCAGTAGCAACCATTTGAGACGAGGATGTTTATTATTGGTGACATTATGAGAGACCACTATGTATCGCTTTATATTATATCAATTGTTCATCAGACTATGAACAATTGTCTTATCCGTAATTTACATAAGGAACAAAATGGTTCCTTATGTAAATTAATTAAAGAGGAAAAACATTCAGGAAATACTGACGTTTCAGAAAAACTCATCGTTTTTTTTTTTTACTGTATTTAAACAAAAAATCTAAATATTTTGGTCATTTTCAACTTTTCCATAAACAGGTAAAAAAAAACAAGAAAAACACAAATTCAAGACAAAACTATTACAGATACATCAACAATATCTCAACTTAAAAAGTATAAACCAACACAAAGTAGAGGCATAACTTTATTTGTCTTTCATTTTATTTATAAGCAGCTGAATATTTCCTGTATATTTTACTAAAAATTCAGTTTAAACATTTTATTATTAAATGTAAACATTTTCTTCCACACCTGAATCATGAATCCTGTGAATCTGGAGCAAAATGTTTGTTATTAATCCCAGAAATGCGTCTCTCTTAACTCATATTTAACTCTCAACTCATGTGAAAAGTAAAATAGAGTTTAGATGTGTGAGCGTTTAAAACGAGCTTTAATTTGACTAAATAGCACTGAAACTACCTTTAGTTTTTCATAAAGTTTCTACCGGCCGTCAGCATGAGGGACATTTTCCTGACATGAATAAAATGAACTTCCTGTCTGCAGGTTTGACTCGGTCCAGTTTAAAAGAGGGACAATAATAGTTGAGATCTCTTCTGCAGCCGTGACTCAGCTGAATTGATCTGAACGAACAGTTCACGGCTCCGGGCTGTAACAGGATTGTCCTAGTCGATGTCCGGCTCTGAGGACGGAGGCGGCCGGAGGCGGACTGGTCCACCTGTGACGGACGTTTTCAGCTCCATCGCCTGCAGGAAAACAAAAATAAACGTGTCGTCGCGACAGAAACGCCACCGGCAGACAATAACGACTCTCCACCAAAGTGACCCGTCAGGACTGATCAGTGGCCTATTCAAAGTTCATCTCATGTTTTCCACAAAGTCATTCTTAGATAATCAGATTTTAGTTTGCTCCGTTCCCCCAACTCAGCGTTTACACTCACACAGGAAAGTAACTGCAAGTAGATGTGTTACAACCGTACATCTTTGAAAAGCATTAGTGGAGCCTCCTGCACAACCGACGAGAATGCAGCAAATGGTTTCCGGATCAAATCAACATCAAACACTTGTCTTCCACAGCGCACTGCAAAAACACTAAAACTCACCAAGTATTTATTGAACCTTTTTGTGTTTTTGCACAACCCTGTCGGGGTCGCTAGGTAACGGCGCAGTGTGACTCAACAATGGGAGGTTTTTGAAACGATTTCCAACATAAATTATCTTGATAAAAATCTTCTGGATGTTTTTTTAAGTTGTTTTTAGAAACAGTTGAAAACCAAGATGTGGATTTTGCTCTCTGTGGTTCCCTTCGTGAGACGAGGAGATTTTATGGCGGTACAGGAAAATGAACAGATCGCAGACGACGCAGGACGGCGGCTCTCAGGGGAAACGTTGAAACGAAGCCTGCAGGTGGCGCTGTGACCTCCAACAGTCCAGGCTGGGAATCGAACCTGGGACCCGGTTGCTGCCAGGCAGTTCCAGCAGTCGGAGGGCGAACATCGAGACGAACAGCCGGGAAATGAAAAGTAGGTCAGGAGCGAAACAGAGAGACGGCGGCGTGAAGCGGAGACGAGTCGTCCTCCAGAGACGAGACGAGACGAGACGTCTCCTCAGAAACGTTTCATCTGCAGCTGGATCAAAACGCTCTGAGGATCGATACTGGCTCTGACTGCGACCCCAAACACACACACACACACACACACACACACACACACACACACACACACACACACACACACACACACACACACACACACAGACACACACACACACACACAGACACACACACACACAGACACACACACACACACACACACAGACACACACACACACACCACACACACAGACACACACACACACACACACACACACAGACACACAGACACACACACACACGCGGCGCTCTGATGGAACCTGGTGGGCATTTCACACCTTCCTCACCTGTCAGGTTGAACCTGAAGCTCCGGTTCACCCTGAGCCCCTGAAGCTGCTCAGTCTCACCTTCACATCGTTCAGACGCTGAAACCCAAAATGCTTTCACTTCTCTGGAAAAGTTGTTTCCTGGAACTTTTCAGAGCTTTTTGGCAGAAGTCCATCTTGACCTCCATACATGTGACTTTAACTTCCGTGTAGTGAAGAAGTTTGACTCCAGAGACGCTTCATCTCAGATCCACTTGTCAGTTTTTTCTTGCAGAATTTCAGCTTTTCAAACTCAGAAATGTTTTGTTTTTGGCAGAAATTCCTGGTTGTTTTTGGACCTGCAGCCTTCCTGATATGTTGAGGAATAATTCATATTCAGATCCAGGAGGATTTGGGACAACAAATCAGTTTTAACGATCAGCTTCAGTAAAACTGATTCACTTGGTGTTTGAGTTCAACACTCCGACATCAGTTTCCCTTGCAATGAGGTCACTGGTGCAGCAAAGACAAAGATCCCCCTGGAAACAGATTATTGGTAACATGTTCCCAGGTTTCCAAATGAAATCTGGTGTTCAGGAAACATCTTGCAACAGAAAAGATGAGATGGAGAATGTTTGTGTTTCTCTGATAAACTGACCAAACGTCGTCCAGAAGCTTCTGCTGCTAAAAGCTTCTGTGAGTTGAAGTGAATCTGTGAGTTGAAGTGAATCTGTGAGTTGAAGTGAATCTGTGAGTTGAAGTGAATCTGTGAGTTGAAGTGAATCTGTGAGTTGAAGTGAATCTGTGAGTTGAAGTGAATCTTTGAGTTGAAGTGAATCTGTGAGTCCGTTGAGGAAACGCAGCTCTGGTTCTGATCCGTCTGTTTCTGGCTCTGCTGCCAGTCGAGTCGCTGCAGGTGTTTTGTTTAGCAGAATGGATGTTTATTGATTAGCAGCAGAGAGCAGAGTGATGGGGGACATTGTTGGCCCCAGCAGGCCTCCGTACTGGAGGAGGCTGTGGAGAATATCCGTCTTTTGGGTCCATTTTTCTTCTAAATGTTGCTGTTCTTTCAGCTCGCTCCCCCAGCGGATTAAAAGTAGCTCCGTCTGGTTGTTTGTTTCCTTTTCTTTGAAGCATTGATCCAACCCGCTTTCTTTCTCTCTGCTCATGTGAGTTTTGATCGTTTCTGTGAGCGGATGCTGCAGCAGCAGACGGCCTCTGAATGACTTCTGCTGCTCTTCGTTTCCATCGCTTAGTTGCGTGTAAAGTTGTCATTTAGAGGGTCGATGGCGGCCGGGAGTCATGAGGTCAAACTATTCCTGTCAGCAGCTGAAAAGGTCGTCGATACTCAAGTTTCACCATCCAGCAAAGATTGACCTGATTATGAACAAACGCGTCGATGTTTGATGCTTCATGACTTCAGAAAAACAATGGAAGACAAAAATCTGGATTCTGGAACGAATATATTTGATTTTCCTGGTTTTATTGTAGTTCTGCTGACGACCCGGTTTGGCCCAAACTTCTGCTTTAGTCTATGATGAATAAATAAAATCTGGACCTGAATAAAAGGAACATTTCACGTGTTTTGCTTTGGAGATCTTTGCCTCTCACTGCAGCTGGTGCTCATCCTGTCTACAGCCGTAACTTCCTGTCTGCCATCATCAGTGACGTCATCATTGGCTCTGATTAGACCCCAGAAACATCCTTGATTGGCCTCATCAGCGCCGCGGCCATTAAATTCACTCTTTTCTTTTGAAGTCATTGATGATTCTGACCTGCAGCTGAAATGATAGACAATCTGTTCTTCTGTTCCGTCTTTAAAATCTTGATTATGAAACAGAAAATGTGGTGAAGATCGATCAGAATTTATCTCCTTTGGGTCTGAACCGCAGTTTGAGCCCAAACCGAACCGGGCCCAAACAGAACCGGGTTCAAACAGAACCGGGCCCAAACAGAACCGGGTTCAAACAGAACCGGGCCCAAACAGAACCGGGCTCAAACAGAACCGGGCCCAAACAGAACCGGGCCCAAACGGCCCGTCAGTAACCCTGAACGTCTCGGTTCTGTTCCAGGTGCCAGCCTGCCGAAGCCCCAGGTGAAGACGGCGTCTCTGGGTCAGGCTGGGAAGGCCCGCTCCCCTCTGCTGCCCGTCTCGGTACCGACGGCGCCGGACCTGCAGGAGGAGGGCGGAGCCAAACCGCCGGAGGATTCAGCCGCCAACGTGAGTCTGAGGCAGAACCAGCGTTCAGAACCAGAACATTTAGTCCAGGAAGTTTCAGCAGGTTCTGCATGTTTTAACCAAACACATAAAATAAGATTTAAACACAAATTTTCCACAAATCAGCACAAAAAAAACAACGAGTTCAGGAAATAAAGCAGAAAGAAGCAGGAAGGAAATTCATTCTCAGAATTTAAATTCTGACTTTATTTTCTGTCGTATCAGCGCCACTTTATCTGCTCACAAAATGACTTTTTTCTTGTCATTTATTTTGGTATTTTTATGATTTTATTCTTTTATTTTCTAAAATCAGAATCCTGTCATCCATGTATGAAACAAACAGTTTAGTTTCTGAAAAGCAGTTTATCAGCTGAGCTCTGGCCTAAACAAAGTAAATGACTGACACAAAGCAGACTTCTCTGCTCGGCTGCTGATTGTAGGAAAAACTCAGAGTTTGATCTGCAGATTCCTCCAGTTTTAGCAGGAGAGTTTTTACTTTTAAGACTCTTCATGCGACTGTCAGCGTCTGGGATTCAGCAGAACAAACCGACGATTCCTCCTAAAACTGAGGAAGAGACGGAAGCAGGACGACAAAAACCTGAAGAGGAAAAACTGCAGAGCGAGACGACATGATGGGCAGAGAAACAGAGAAACAGGATGGATTCAGGTTTAACTCCCATAAAAACTGAGAAACGAGACAGACGGAGGACAGGAATGTCAGCGTCTCCGAGGGAAGAAGGGATGAGATGAACGACAGCAGACGATGCGGAGCGATGTCGGACGTCAGGAGGTGTCACCACGGCAACCGGAGGAGGAGAGGAATTATGAAACCACCAGGTGTCGCCATGGCACCAAGGAGGAAGAGGAGGAGGAAGAGCTGCTGCCACGGCGACAAGAACCACACACACACACACACACACACACACACACACACACACACACACACACACACACACTGATACTGAATAAATACAATATAGATGTAGATTAACTAGATTCCAGCACATCTAAAGGTTTCACATCACAGAGAGGATTTCTGCTTTCCTGCTGTTTTACAGAACAATCTGAAAAGTGCGGCAGGCTGCTTTATTCTCTGACCAAGAGTGTGAGCCAGAATCAGAGATCATTTTAAAAATTAAGAGAATAAAGTCGGATTATTAGCAAAATAAAACAAAATGTATAAAGTCAATGGACAGACGGACGGATGTTTCTGTTCTCCTGGCACTGAAACTTTAAGAAAAGTCCAGATTTTTAACATTCTTGTTTCTGTTGAGCAGTTATTGTCCAAATGTCACGTTGCCTGATGATCCGTGGAATAAATTAATCAGTTTTCGCCGACCAGGAGTTGATGTGACACCTCCATGTTGGTTCTATAAATCCTCCATGTTGGTTCTATAAATCCTCCATGTTGGTTCTTTAAATCCTCCATGTTGGTTCTATAAATCCTCCATGTTGGTTCTATAAATCCTCCATGTTGGTTCTTTAAATCCTCCATGTTGGTTCTTTAAATCCTCCATGTTGGTTCTATAAATCCTCCATGTTGGTTCTATAAATCCTCCATGTTGTTTCTTTAAATCCTCCATGTTGGTTCTATAAATCCTCCATGTTGGTTCTATAAATCCTCCATGTTGTTTCTATAAATCCTCCATGTTGGTTCTTTAAATCCTCCATGTTGGTTCTTTAAATCCTCCATGTTGGTTCTATAAATCCTCCATGTTGGTTCTATAAATCCTCCATGTTGGTTCTATAAATCCTCCATGTTGGTTCTGTAAATCCTCCATGTTGGTTCTATAAATCCTCCATGTTGGTTCTTTAAATCCTCCATGTTGGTTCTTTAAATCCTCCATGTTGGTTCTTTAAATCCTCCATGTTGGTTCTATAAATCCTCCATGTTGGTTCTATAAATCCTCCATGTTGGTTCTATAAATCCTCCATGTTGGTTCTGTAAATCCTCCATGTTGGTTCTATAAATCCTCCATGTTGGTTCTATAAATCCTCCATGTTGGTTCTTTAAATCCTCCATGTTGGTTCTATAAATCCTCCATGTTGGTTCTATAAATCCTCCATGTTGGTTCTTTAAATCCTCCATGTTGGTTCTATAAATCCTCCATGTTGGTTCTATAAATCCTCCATGTTGGTTCTATAAATCCTCCATGTTGGTTCTATAAATCCTCCATGTTGGTTCTGTAAATCCTCCATGTTGGTTCTATAAATCCTCCATGTTGGTTCTTTAAATCCTCCATGTTGGTTCTTTAAATCCTCCATGTTGGTTCTATAAATCCTCCATGTTGGTTCTATAAATCCTCCATGTTGGTTCTATAAATCCTCCATGTTGGTTCTGTAAATCCTCCATGTTGGTTCTATAAATCCTCCATGTTGGTTCTATAAATCCTCCATGTTGTTTCTATAAATCCTCCATGTTGGTTCTTTAAATCCTCCATGTTCTTTCTATAAATCCTCCATGTTGTTTCTATAAATCCTCCATGTTGGTTCTTTAAATCCTCCATGTTCTTTCTATAAATCCTCCATGTTGGTTCTTTAAATCCTCCATGTTGTTTCTATAAATCCTCCATGTTGGTTCTTTAAATCCTCCATGTTGTTTCTATAAATCCTCCATGTTGGTTCTTTAAATCCTCCATGTTGGTTCTTTAAATCCTCCATGTTGGTTCTTTAAATCCTCCATGTTGGTTCTTTAAATCCTCCATGTTGGTTCTATAAATCCTCCATGTTGGTTCTTTAAATCCTCCATGTTGGTTCTTTAAATCCTCCATGTTGGTTCTTTAAATCCTCCATGTTGGTTCTTTAAATCCTCCATGTTGTTTCTATAAATCCTCCATGTTGGTTCTATAAATCCTCCATGTTGGTTCTTTAAATCCTCCATGTTGGTTCTTTAAATCCTCCATGTTGGTTCTTTAAATCCTCCATGTTGTTTCTATAAATCCTCCATGTTGGTTCTTTAAATCCTCCATGTTGGTTCTTTAAATCCTCCATGTTGGTTCTTTAAATCCTCCATGTTGGTTCTATAAATCCTCCATGTTGGTTCTTTAAATCCTCCATGTTGTTTCTATAAATCCTCCATGTACTTTCTATAAATCCTCCATGTTGGTTCTTTAAATCCTCCATGTTGTTTCTATAAATCCTCCATGTTGGTTCTTTAAATCCTCCATGTAGGTTCTTTAAATCCTCCATGTTGGTTCTTTAAATCCTCCATGTTGGTTCTTTAAATCCTCCATGTTGGTTCTTTAAATCCTCCATGTTGGTTCTATAAATCCTCCATGTTGGTTCTATAAATCCTCCATGTTGGTTCTATAAATCCTCCATGTTGGTTCTGTAAATCCTCCATGTTGGTTCTATAAATCCTCCATGTTGGTTCTATAAATCCTCCATGTAGGTTCTTTAAATCCTCCATGTTGGTTCTTTAAATCCTCCATGTTGGTTCTATAAATCCTCCATGTTGGTTCTTTAAATCCTCCATGTTGGTTCTATAAATCCTCCATGTTGGTTCTATAAATCCTCCATGTTGGTTCTATAAATCCTCCATGTTGGTTCTATAAATCCTCCATGTTGGTTCTGTAAATCCTCCATGTTGGTTCTATAAATCCTCCATGTTGGTTCTTTAAATCCTCCATGTTGGTTCTTTAAATCCTCCATGTTGGTTCTATAAATCCTCCATGTTGGTTCTATAAATCCTCAAAGTTGGTTCTATAAATCCTCCATGTTGGTTCTGTAAATCCTCCATGTTGGTTCTATAAATCCTCCATGTTGGTTCTATAAATCCTCCATGTTGTTTCTATAAATCCTCCATGTTGGTTCTTTAAATCCTCCATGTTCTTTCTATAAATCCTCCATGTTGTTTCTATAAATCCTCCATGTTGGTTCTTTAAATCCTCCATGTTCTTTCTATAAATCCTCCATGTTGGTTCTTTAAATCCTCCATGTTGTTTCTATAAATCCTCCATGTTGGTTCTTTAAATCCTCCATGTTGTTTCTATAAATCCTCCATGTTGGTTCTTTAAATCCTCCATGTTGGTTCTTTAAATCCTCCATGTTGGTTCTTTAAATCCTCCATGTTGGTTCTTTAAATCCTCCATGTTGGTTCTATAAATCCTCCATGTTGGTTCTTTAAATCCTCCATGTTGGTTCTTTAAATCCTCCATGTTGGTTCTTTAAATCCTCCATGTTGGTTCTTTAAATCCTCCATGTTGTTTCTATAAATCCTCCATGTTGGTTCTATAAATCCTCCATGTTGGTTCTTTAAATCCTCCATGTTGGTTCTTTAAATCCTCCATGTTGGTTCTTTAAATCCTCCATGTTGTTTCTATAAATCCTCCATGTTGGTTCTTTAAATCCTCCATGTTGGTTCTTTAAATCCTCCATGTTGGTTCTTTAAATCCTCCATGTTGGTTCTATAAATCCTCCATGTTGGTTCTTTAAATCCTCCATGTTGTTTCTATAAATCCTCCATGTACTTTCTATAAATCCTCCATGTTGGTTCTTTAAATCCTCCATGTTGTTTCTATAAATCCTCCATGTTGGTTCTTTAAATCCTCCATGTAGGTTCTTTAAATCCTCCATGTTGGTTCTTTAAATCCTCCATGTTGGTTCTTTAAATCCTCCATGTTGGTTCTTTAAATCCTCCATGTTGGTTCTATAAATCCTCCATGTTGGTTCTATAAATCCTCCATGTTGGTTCTATAAATCCTCCATGTTGGTTCTGTAAATCCTCCATGTTGGTTCTATAAATCCTCCATGTTGGTTCTATAAATCCTCCATGTAGGTTCTTTAAATCCTCCATGTTGGTTCTTTAAATCCTCCATGTTGGTTCTTTAAATCCTCCATGTTGGTTCTATAAATCCTCCATGTTGGTTCTTTAAATCCTCCATGTTGGTTCTATAAATCCTCCATGTTGGTTCTTTAAATCCTCCATGTTGGTTCTTTAAATCCTCCATGTTGGTTCTTTAAATCCTCCATGTTGGTTCTTTAAATCCTCCATGTTGGTTCTTTAAATCCTCCATGTTGGTTCTATAAATCCTCCATGTTGGTTCTGTAAATCCTCCATGTTGGTTCTATAAATCCTCCATGTTGGTTCTATAAATCCTCCATGTTGGTTCTATAAATCCTCCATGTTGGTTCTATAAATCCTCCATGTTGGTTCTATAAATCCTCCATGTTGGTTCTTTAAATCCTCCATGTTGGTTCTATAAATCCTCCATGTTGGTTCTTTAAATCCTCCATGTTGGTTCTTTAAATCCTCCATGTTGGTTCTATAAATCCTCCATATTGGTTCTTTAAATCCTCCATGTTGGTTCTTTAAATCCTCCATGTTGTGTTCCAGGTGTATGAGCAGGACGACCTGTCGGAGCAGATGGCCAGTCTGGAAGGACTGATGCAGCAGCTCAACGCCATCACCGGCTCCGCCTTCTAACCGCCACCTGGCCCGGACCGGACCGGACCGGCCCTTTCTCAGCCACGGACCGATCTGCTCTGACTGACTGGTTGCCCAGATCTCCATCCGTTTGGTTTTGCTGGTCTGGGCTTTGAAAGGGAATAAACTGTCCAGCATCAGGAACTGGACCGGCTGCGGCCGATTCCAGGCGTTCAAACTGAAACCCTCTAGATTCTCCAACCCAGACATGAACTGAGAGAAACCCAAACGCCTCCACACAGGAATATCACCGCAAAGATTCTCCGTTTCTCCTGTTTGTGGTATTTATTAGCATCGTCTCCTCTGAGTTTCAGACTCAGCTACTGTGACCGAACCTCGCCGACTTTCCACCGGTGGAAATATTCCTTCATCAGAACGTTTGCAGAACGTTTGGAAACCTGCGATTCAGAAAGCGAAACATCTTCAGCCAAAGTTTCACTGACACACGATATTTTTCACATGGACCTAAAGTTTCCCATCATGCCTCGCTGTCGGTTTGTTCTCCTTCATTTCCGTTTGCCAACACAAACAGGAAGTCCTGCGGAGCGTCAGCCGTCCATCTGCTGTGAGCGAAGGATCGAGAAGGAAGTCTGACCCGACGTTAGCCGTTAGCGACATTAGCTTGTGTTGCGTCTGACCTTAGGAAGCTTATTGTGAATATCTTTGTTTTTGCTGCTTGTTTCTGTCCATCAATCAGTCCAGAGGTCGAGAAGAAAAAAGGAAAGGAAACAAAATCAAATTATTAGTAAAAGAAGAAACCGTCTGGATTTTAGTTGCAACATTTTTTCTGACGGTTGGAAGATGTTGGACAAAGTGACGGTTCACTGATTCAACATTAAACTGATTCAGCTGAAGAAACATCGTGGTATCCGTAGGCAACGCTAATGCTAACACTAGCATTCGACTGTTAGCACTAGCACGCTAAAGATCTGTCAGTAATTCACTACAGACTTAGTGTTAGCCTGCTAACAGTGATGCTAACTCTTAGCAAAGGCAGTAACATGCTAACAGTTAGCATAGTGAAGCGAGGAGCCGTCACTTTTCCCGCCTTTTTGTCCTGTTGCCTAGCAACCGTGACGCACGGAACACAAGCTGCTAAAAACGGAGCCAGAACTTTTCCAGAGTTTCAGTCGTTTAATCCGTTTAGTGAATTAAATTTGAAACAGAAACATGTGAAACAGAAGTGACCCATGTGAATCATTCAGCTAATTCAGCCTGAATGAAACATGAACCAGCAATACAACAATATCATCTTTATACATAAGTCCAATAAGTTCAAGGTTTCCTGATCATTCTGACCAATAACAGGTCATGAATCTGTTCATGTGAACAGTTCTTTGCTTTACGGATCCAGATTTAGATGAACTGGTTCATCTGCTCTGCGTTGGTTGTTTCCTGTCGTTCTGTTTTTATCACTCTGGGATTTTTTTCAGTTTTTATTTGTTTTGAAGAACCAAACGAACACAACTGATCAAAAAACCACCAGCTTCACTTTGAGTTTCATTTTGTAGAAAAAGACAAAAAAGTTACAAAAAGACAAACATAATCCTGAAAAAGTCTATTTTTACATTCAGTGTCACGGCGCAGATCAGAGAGCAAAGAAAAGTCAAGAACTAAATCAACATGACACTCAGTAATTATCTGGTGTGAAACAGCTGCGTTTTCATTACAGGAAGTAGATTAAACGGTGAGACGACGGCGTCGTCGCGCAGCGGACAGGAAACTTCCACCAGTCACTTTCCATTTATCTGTTCTGACCTTCAGAGCTTCAAAGGTCAACAATTTAAAAGTTTGAAACTAGAAAATGAATCTGAGATTTTCCTCAGAAATCTTTTAGAAAAACATTTTTTTAATCAAATGTCATAATTTGGAAAAAGTTTATGTTTTTTGGTGGAAGTTGTTGCTGTGGCTCTGATGCGCCGACGGTTCTGGTTTCCAGAGGGAATCTGTGTTTAGATAGTGAATCATCCAGGACAAGATGGAGGACGGATGTCGATGTAGGTTTAGACGAGTTGCAGTTTGTAAAAGAGGAAAGTTTAGTGAAGGTGTCAGGAAGGCGAGCAGAGCGGCGTACACTGTGAAAACTCAGCCGGCGGCTGATGGCTTCTGGGTCAGCATCTCCTTCATCTTCTCTCGCTGCTGCAGCAATCCACTTCCTGCCGCTCTTCCTCACATCCTGAGAGGAAGACTCCGACTCGCCGCCCGATCGAACGGCCGGCAGGACCAGCTTCCTTTGACCTGTGCTAATCGGCAGGAACGTAAACTGACCAGCGCTGGGGTAAAACGGGCCTCAGGCGGCTCTTTATTTGCCTCAGGCGGCTCTTTATTTGCCCCGGCCGCCATCTTGACGTTTATCTGCTTCCTGCGCCGACGGTCCAGGCTGTGAATTTATTACTGGGACGTTTCCACCGTTACCATGGCAGCCAGTCGTCCCGGGGCGGCGGGGTGAAAAGGTCGAGAAGAACCAGGATCAAACTCAACATCCAGCAGGTGGAAATAAATTGGACTTTTTGAAATTTTCTGTTTTTAAAAGTCAAATTTGTTTCATTTTTAAAACCCAAAAAATTCACACAAATTTTTTTCTATAAAATTTCTGAGATTAATTTCAAAATTTGAGTTTTTCTCACAAATTTTTGTCTTTCAAAACTTTGACATTTTGAAATTGATCTCATAAATTTTCTGATACTGAAGTCAAAAAAGTTTTTAAGTTTTTTTACTTTTCAAATTCTGAAATTTGAGATTAATTTTCATACTTTTTGTGTGAAAAATGAGCAGTTATTTGCAAAAAGGTGAAGCCACTGCATGCTAACGTCATGCTAACAGCGTGCTAGCGGTTAGCGTGCTAGCGGTTAGCGTGCTAGCGGTTAGCACACCGCTCCGCAGCCACGTCCTGGAAACGACTCATTCAGCCAATCAGGCGTCGTTTCTCCAGGTTCTCCGACCAATGGCTTCGTCTGCAGGGAAATGTTTAATTAACCCAGAATAAATGAAACTTTTCTGAATTTGAAAGCTAAAACTGAAATATTTTGCCATCTGGATCAAAGGAACATTTTGGTTTCTGAAATTTGGGTTTTTGGATGAGGTGGATTTGCTGCAGCAGAACCACATTAAAGCAAGCTGCCTTTTTTTACAGTGTACAGTTCCACTAGAGTAGAATTGACTTTTTATATTCAAATTTAATATATTATTATTTGGAGTGCTCTTGGAAGCTATTATTTATATTCATGTGATATTTCTGCATATGTAAATTTAGTTTAGTGAATAAAAAAAGGACGTTTTTCTTCTCTCGGCCTTAAAACGTTTCAGTTCTGGGATTTTTATCATGATTATTGTTTATCTTATTTATTATTAAATCTTGACAGACGTTAGTTTACCAGATTATTTGTAGACTTTTTTATGCAGCAGAACCCAAAGCCGGAGTCGATCATATCTGGGCAACAAGTTGGTAGAAACTCAAAACAATTTTAGATTAAATTTCAAAATTTAGAAATTATGCTTAAATTATTTAATTTATTGTTTTGTATCTAAAATGATCAGATGCAGCAAAAGCAAAGGAGGTGGATTAGCAGCGCTAGCTTGTGATTGGACTGTCTTCAGTCAGAAGCTGTTTCTGATGTGTTGCAAGACTGACTGCTGCTGGAGATCTGTCCAAAATGACTTCTTGGATATCAGTTGCGACTTTTCAGTAGACAGTAGATCAGACAGTATAAATAAAGTATTTTTGAATTGAACTGAGTGGAATAAGCAACAAAACGCTGAAGGTCTCTGGAAGCTAAATGCTTGGAAGGAAAGAATTAAAGGAAGAAAAAGAAAAATCTGAATCTATTTGATTTTATTGAGTGGAAAAAATATAATTAAAAACAGCAACTGAGCTGGAAACCCGGGCGTTTCTTCCTTTCTGTCCCTTCCTTCCTTTTTAAATTAAACTTCCTCCACTGTGGTTGGATCCGGTCCAGAAATGAGATTCTGAGAGGAATGAAAAGGCAGATGAAGTTCAGACTGGGTGGAGGCGGTTCTGGGCGGCCTGACGTGTGAAATGGACCGTCAGCTCCGGTTTGGGCCGCCGGCTTACAGAACATAAATAATAGAGTAGAAAGAAAAGTAGAAAAGATGATTTGCACCTCGTCTCATCAGGGGAGAGGAGCTGAATCCAGGAGGAAGAGCTGACTGCGGGACACGCGATGATGATGATGATGATGATGATGATGATGATGATGATGATGATGATGATGATGATGATGATGATGATGAAGAACGGCTTCTTTCCATTATGTTGTTGTTTTCCCATTTGCTGGTTTTTGTAACACTGTAGAACAGTCCCATGGTCCTTTTTATAGAAATGTTATTTCAATGTTTCATTCTTTTGTTTGATAAATAAAGTTTTGATACAAAAACAAAATGGCTGCTTGTTGGTTTTTCTCTTCCTCAGGAAAAAACATTTGTTGTCTTTCCAGCTAACAGACCTGCTGGGGTTGCTAGGTAACGGTCGGAACTCTGCTGGGGTTGCTAGGTAACAGCGGAACTCTGCTGGGGTTGCTAGGTAACGGGCGGAACTCTGCTGGGGTTGCTAGGTAACGGTCGGAACTCTGCTGGGGTTGCTAGGTAACAGCGGAACTCTGCTGGGGTTGCTAGGTGACGGGTGGAACTCTGCTGTGGTTGCTAGGTGACGGTTGTTGCTGAAATTAGCATATTGAAGCTATTCTCTGTTATTCTGATCAACCAAAATAAACTCTGCAACAATATTAAAGGAAAATAAATGTAAGGTAGTTAAAGGAGTGATTGCACGCAGCTAATAAAGAGCATGCACTGTAAGGCTAGAATGTTAGCATTAGTATGCTAACATTAGCATTGTGTTGCTTCCCTTACAAGTAAAAGTTTTGAAATAAAAGGATTTGCACTCACTGTGTTTATCTTGCATTTTAAAAATGCAGGTAAATTTGGTACTTATTGCAAAAGCAGCTGTAAGCTAACTAGCTACTGAGCTAGCTACTAGTAGCGGCTAAAGAACAGATTTTTATGCTTCCTCAAACGCTGTAGCATTAGTTTCAAATAATGAATGAACAATATATAAATTGTTAAAAAGGGTAAT